GGTTCACTGTATTCTCTTCTAGGAAATGCGACCGTTAAAATTTGTTTACATTCACATCTATGAATCTGATATCCTTGGCACTCTCATTTGTATAATATGCAATTTAGTATCCATATAATATTTGTCAAATTCTAAAAATGATCGCTGATTTGAATGCTTTCTCTCTCTCTCTCTCTCTCTCTCTCTCTCTCTCTCTCTCTCTCTCTCTCTCTCTCTCTCTCTCTCTCTCCATATGCTAGGAAACAATAAACATCGATAAAATGGATAATAATAGCAACAGAAAAAATGCATTTATCAAAGTGAAATAGGTTTAAAGAGTTAATCATTTTGTACATATTTAGCGTCCCTCATGATTATGGATTTTGCCTGCGAAAAGACAATTTTGTGATGTTGCAATTATAAGTATTTACACTTTTTTTTTCAAAATAATACTATCCCTTTTATAATATGTATACACTATCCCTCCCACCTTTATTACTGTTGTTCTAAATATCATCATCATTATCATCGCAGTACAATCACCATCTTTTTCATCGTTATAATTATCAATATCCTTTGTACTACTTTTATCATAGTTAATACCAGTATTATATTTATTAGTAACAGTAATATCATTATTTGTAGTAACAGTGCTGCTAATACTGTCATTGTTATTGTCATCATTATCATTGCAATTACTATTACTATTACCGTTTTAATAATTACTGTCATTATCATCACTATTGTGATTACAATTATCATTTTCATTTTTAATATTATTACCTCTTGTAGTTGTACTCTTATAAGTTTTAGTATTAGTATCTTTTGTTATTGTTAGATGCAGTATGTTGGTACAGTCTTAATTCAAGGGTATCAGAATAACCTGTGTAGTTCCACATTAATTTTCGTTACAGCCTAGTCACAAGAAGCATTCGAACTGAAAACAACAAGCCCGTATAAGAAACCAATAACGCACAATAGAGATGAACATGAATTTGAATATAAAACAAAACAAAATACAGGAGATGCAAAATTTATATAAGAAGAGCATCAGCACATTGCGAAATATGAAAATCAGAATTTGACAAACATTATCCTATTATTGAAAGAACATAAAATCTTCACAAGGCATTCCCATTTAGAGCAAAACATCAGAAAATAAAAGGGGTTGGCTGTGGAACAACTGCCACTGAACATGTCACAAAACACTACCGTTGGGGGCCGCGGCGCTGAACAACAAAGTATAATAATCTTAAATATACACACTGTTAACACTCACTTTGTATCCCAATAAAGACTGCAAACCAACTTCTTCATAAAATCCACTCCACGGTCGTTATCACTCAAAATAAAAGGATGGA